TGCAGAAAAAAAGAGGTTAAAATAACGTACAAAATTGTATAATTAGAACACTCCGTACGAATTGATAAATTTAGTGTGATAAAAAAAAGGAATTGTATTTATAGCTTTTAAACCATTTTTTTAGATTAATTTTTTAAGATTATTAATGTTATGTAATAATTATTTTTTAGATATATAATTTCACGTTTTTAAAGGCATTGTGTGTAAAAACTAATATTAATTTTAACTTCATAATAATTAATTTGCCATTTGTAAATGTAAGAACGCATGGAAAATTAAGCACATGCGCAAGTTTTTAATAATTATTATTATATTTTTGGCAACTTACCATTTTAAATGAACAATTGTCATTTGTTAATGTAATAAAAATTATCATTTTAAGTGAATAATTGCCATTTTTGTAAATGTAATAATGCAGGGAGAATTAAGCACATCCGTAAGTTTTTAATATTTATTATTATATTATTTTCAAAAACTTACCATTTTAAGTGAACAATTGCCATTTGTTAATGTAATAACGCATGGGCGAGAAAAACAAAAGTTGACTCCATGTGTTTTTAAATAAAGTATGAATTACCATTTTTAGTTGAGCATTTGTTGCATGTTTTATACACGGGTTTTATACCTTTTTTATACACGATTATTTTAAATTACACGGTTATATGTTGATCACAATTACACTAATTTTATATTCACGGTAATATTAATTGAGTAATTACTCAATTACGGTAACTAAATTAAAATTAAATTTCCATTCGTTACCTTTTTTACACACGTTTATATTAAATTAACATTCGTTACCATTTTAATTACACGGTTATACTAAATTACCATTTTTAGTTGAGCATTCATTACCTTTTTTATACACGGTTTTTATACCTTTTTCAACCATTTTTATACACGGTTATTTTAATGATATATTAATTACCATTTAGTAATTATCATATGGAGTGAAGAATTACCATATTCTATACACCATGAAATGGGCGGGAAAAGAACAATGAAAATCCATGTCTTTTTAAATAATAGATAGATTTGTGCCCCTAAAAATATTGGGCCCGGTCCGATAGGGCTGCTCGGCCCACCCTTGGGCCGGCCCTGTTATGGAGTATTATCAAAGTGCCCCTAAAGCCATCGTACCGGCTTTGATCTAGGGTGGGAGAATTTACCACGTTGTCGGGGGTAAGAGTCATAAATTTTATGAACGGTGCACCGTATGTAACTTAATTGAAGTCGGTGTCATGCTGAATCACTCAAACTCTCAAAGTTAGTGGATGTAGAACCCATCCGCATTATTATTAATTATCACTATTATTATTTTTATTATTACCATTATTATTACTATTACAATTAATCAATTATTGTTGTTGTTGTTAGTATTATTAAAATAAATGTATGAAATTAACAAATATTTTTCTTGTAAATACATATATGAAGAATAAAAATAACATTTTTATCTAGATTTATAATATAAGACCTCTCAAACAAGAACAAGGATGACTCTTTGTTATCCATATTTTTGTTTTTTTACTTTTAATTTAATTAACTTTTCTTTTTAATAATTTAGTTGTTTAATACCGAGTAATTTTTATTATCTTATTTAAATGATACTTTTGTTTAATAAAAAAAGTAACGTGTATCACATGCTTAATCGTTATTTACTTTCGATAGTGCGTAATAGAAATCATGATAAAGAAACATTATTTTTAATTAGGTGATTTTATGGAAAACTTTTAAACATTAGTTTTTTCTAAAGCACATAAACTTTCATGGTAAACTTTTAATTGAATCTATCAAATTTTAAAAATTACCATAAATTATTTGCTAAAAATAGTCAATTAATATTTAAAAAGTTACCATATATGAATCAAATAAATGCGTAGAGTCTCATCGATGGATAAAAAAGAGTTCATTTGTACAATTTACTTGTCAAGCTCTCATTAAGCAAGTCTGAATTATTATTATATTAAGGATAAAGAATTTGACATTTTATCAGGGACAAAATAAATAATTTCTAATAATTCACCCCACGTCACAAAAAATGCTTTCATTTTTTGTTTGTTTAAAAATATACTTCCTCCCACACACTCTTCTAGTGATGGATCTAGAATTTTGTAGTCATATAATCATAGACCTTTGAGAGTCTAACCCGAGTTAACCATAATTTCCAATCATAGGCACACAAAAAAAAAGATAAATTTACTTTTTAAATTATTGAATAGTATAATTATCAACAAAAAACTACATAGAAGCAATGTTATTTTAAAATCTAATTTTTTAGATTTCAGAATTTTGAAAATGATGGATTAACGATAAATGCTTAAATCCACATTTTATTTGGCTAAAGTTCACTTCATTTATAAGAAATGGACATCTTTATCATTTCACTTTTTCCTACCTCATATCAAGCATTAAGTGTAAACTTGTTCATTTGAAAGACAACGAGGATGGTCTAAAAGACGATGAGGGACACTGCCACTACACGTTGGTCTGATGGGATAAAAGGAAGGAAGATAGAGAGATGCAATGAAGATGGGTGCAAGTTATAATAAAAAAGAAAGATTATATGTTCGGGTAGATAGGGGTTTAAATTTTACAATAATAAGTTTTAAAACAACCGAGTTCGGGTCGGGTAAAATAATAAACCCGCACCTGATTCGACCCAAAGTCGGATTTGAGAAAAAATTTTCTGGTCGGGTTCAGATTATTTATTCTCGATTCGCATTCAGATATTTTAGTATTTGGTCTGATAGATTAATATTGTGTTCCGGTTGAATTCCCATCCCTAGTGAGTGTTGATCCAATACCATGAAAGGAGATAAATCTACTTAGAGGAACTCTAGGACTGACTTGAGTAATAGTATTAAGAGTAATGTCATGTGGTGCCTGCTGGGTGCAATGGTAAGTGCGGTACGTACAAGTATATATCCTTTAACTATATGGTGATCCATCAGGTGGAGATTCCACTCACCCAACGGAAAACTCATTCGTTAGTTGAGCATGACTCGCTGATTTAGTGGGAACAATCATGACTCCACGAAAAGTATGAAGAAACCTTAGTTAAGTTAAAGTATAAGTACACGTTAATGGTGATCCACCATTACGATGAGTGCACAATTATAATGAGAAAGAGGATAGACAAGTGCCAAGTAAATTTTGTGATGAACTATGTGTGTGAATTGCATGATATTAAACTTACGTGTATGATATCATGTGATAATTGTGAACTAGTGGGTTTGCCTTTGTGTACATTCGAATGTTAGATATTTCTCACTCAGCTTCATAGATGAGAGAACAATATAATTGTTTTGTTTTGACTACACACAGACAAGACTAAGGGCAGTTGATTCTAGAGTGCAACGAGACGGTGGAGATGTACGCATGTGGGAATCCAAGGGAATAATTACTATGATGATTTTCCATGAACCCAACTAAATTTTAAAATCAATTTAATTATATTAAATTTATATCATAATTAACTATATATTTTTTTATAATTTGTAGTCCAAATTTGTAAAATATGACTAAAATGTCAAAAAAGGAAGATTATTTAGGATAGAGATCATATAATTAGAAAAAATTATAAAATAATACTCCGTATGAGGTATCGAATTGATGATAGATTGATAAATGTGATAAAATATAAAAAGAAACATGAATAATTAAATTTTAATTAGAAAATAATATATATCCAAAATATATTTGATCCAAAACCAAAATATATATCCGAATCGAACTAGATCCAAAACAGAAATACGGAGTATATCCAATTCAAATTGTATCAGAACCAAATTCTATTCGAACCGTTTTTTAGTCGAAGCATATATGAACCAACTCGAAACCGAACCGAACCGAAAAATGTATAGAACCGAATCAAATCCGAACCGAAATTAAACAAATCCGAACCGAACCAAACCGATTATAACATATATCCAAACCGAAAAAATCCAACGCGAAACCGATCCGGTTGACTCGATTGCCACCTCTAAAAGTGAGTCCAAGAATATTTTATTATATTTTATTAAATAATTAATAAAAACATAAGAATAAACAAAAAAATAGGACCATGCTACACTTACACCAAAAAATATACCTCATTTGTACACCATAGTTTTGCACAAACATTTTGATGGTTTACACCGACATTAGTGTTGGTGCGTTAATAAAAATTTACACGGACACAAATGTTGGTGTGTTAACAAAAATTAGTTTTACACTAATACAAAATGTTAGTGCAAAATTACGGGGTACAAATTGGGGTATAAATCTTAAGGTAAACATAGCATAATCCAAAAAAATTTTGTGATTTTTGAACAGTGGAGGGTAAGAAGTCTAAGAACTTACTTCGTATTTTACAATACAGTGAGTAGGGGTGGGCACGGATCGGGATGGTCCGGATTTAGGTTGTTCCACGTCTTGTCCCGTTATATATAAACGGTCCAGAACGGTTCGGGTTACAATCTTATCCTGGTTTGTCCCATAAAATTCGGGATCGGAACAAACCGGGACGGATTCGGGTCGTCCCACTTTGTCATAATCCCGAATATAAGAAGGGGGTTACTCAATCCAAAAGTCACAAAATGTCATAAATAAAAGTCATTAACTCCCAAAGACATCCGAAAACTAGTTGTGTACACCAAGCAATTAGCCACTGTCCACTGGATTTTTACAGAATTGTGTATTAAAACTTTAAAAGTGAATTAGCTTAATAATGGGTTGAAACTTGAAGTTAACTTAATTAATTAAAGAATAAGTGTATAGAATTAGAATTATATATTAATAGAGTAGATAAAACGGAATAAACGGGACGGATCGGTATAAATTTAAGTTGTCCCGCTCATGTCCCATTTGATAATGGGACGGAACGGGTTCGGGATAAAAAAATGGTGTCCCAATTATTCGATATAATTACAAAACGGATTCGAGATTTTTCGAAACGGTCCAACGGGAACGGATTTCATGCCCAAGTGAATTGTCCTGAACGAGTAGAATCAGTAGATAGCCGATAGCTCCCATTTCATTCCAAATTCCGCATTCCAATTGCCATCCTTCGATCTGTACGCGCTCAACACATGGGAGGAGGAGGAGACCACGGACACCACCACGCCGATGCGGCCGGTGACTTCCGGTCCAAGGTCTGGACCATGACCGGCGGACCTAACTGCAGGCCCGTGCATTGGAAGCGCAATACCGCCATCGCCATGGCTGGAATCGTCCTCGTCTGCATTCCGATTGCCATGAAATCCGCACAGCTCGAGGTCACTAGCTATTATACCCTATTATTCTCAGTAAATTCACACTATGGTTCCAATTTTTCTCCTGAAATATATCTATTATACTCTGTATTTCTTTGTTTTTTTCATTTGTGAAATTTGCACTAAATAAGACTAAAACATAATGACTTTCCTAATATAAGACTTAAACTTTTTTATTCCCTAAATAGGACTTAATAATGTCTTCGTGGAAGGAATAATGCCTAGCAATGATAGACATTACTTGAATAAAAACATAATGACCAAAAGTCCTACATTCGGAAATAAAAACATATGGTCCTATTTTGGGAAAGTCATTATGTTTTAGTCCTATTTAGGTAAATTACTCTTTTCATTTTCCCCTAAATTGGGATCAACAACAACAATAAACCTAGTGTATTACCACAAAGAGGGTAGGATGTACGCAGACCTTCCTAAATCTGGATCAATTTGAATTTAAATTGGGCAGGGCCGATGGGCCTTGTGTCATACTCCTTAACTAAGTAAAGTCTATCAATTCAGTTTTTTAACAATAATTAACATTATAGTAATAATAACAATATAATGTCTAATTCATAGTATTTATATACAAAAAAAATATTTGCCCCCCGTCCCCCTCCCCTCTGAAAATGGGCCATGGCCGGGTGACCACCCTGCCCATGCCCTAACCCGCCCCGTAAATTGGCTCTAGTTGTTAAAGCCAATGTAGGAAGGATATGAGACAAAGAAGATCCTTCAAGGATGGTGTTACAGTTGGATTTAGCTTAGCTAAATCCAAAATGAAAAGAGATATGAGAGACGAGAGATAAATGGATTGAAAGGAAATTGATATTATCTCAGTATTATGCTTGAATACAGTACAAGAGGTGTATTTATAGGCTAACAAAGGTAACTAACTCCCTAACCGACTCCAAGATGAGTAGTTACGCTGTAACATTCCTTCCCCCCTTAAAGAGAACAACCCCCCTTCTCAAGACTAAATACAATCATATTACATTTGTTGTGCTACTGGTGACCAAAAAGTTTTTGGAATTGTTTCTCTATTTCCTTGGAACCTCTCCAAGAAGCATCTTCAGTGTTCTGCCCTTCCTGTTGTGCCAAATACTGCACTGCAGCTTTATTTCCTTGCTTGACAACTATTTCTTGACCATTCTTCTGTCCAATATAGCAATGGCCTCTTCCACATGTCTTGCTTGCCGCCACTCAGGAATGTGAGGTTGATGAGGCAAGGTACCCCTAAAAGTTTTAAGTTGAGACACATGGAAGTTGTGATGAATTCGAGGTGACTGGGGCAGTATTTATAAGCTACAGGTCCCCCCTTAACTTGTACTTGAAAAGGTCCATATTACTTAGGGGCCAATTTTTAATTAACTCTGGCCTGCACCATCTGCTGCCTATAAGGTTGTAGTTTAAGCCATACCCACTCTCCCACTTTCAAATGTCTCTCAGATCTATGCTTGTCTGCTTGAACTTTCATTATGTGTTGAGCTATATGTAGTTGGAAGTTTAGTATTTGGATCATGGCTTCCTTTTTCTGCATAGATCTGTCAACAACCTCCACTTTAGTGTTTAGTCTCTCTTGGCAGATATGGCAAATGAATGGGAGGTGGCTGGTTATAGACCACTTCATATGGTGTCATCCAAATGGTTGAGTAGTAGGAAGTGTTGAACCACCATTCTGCCAAGGGCAGCTAGTTACTCCAATCCTTTGGCTGCTCATTGCACATACAGCATAGATAGGCTTCCAAGCATCTGTTCAGTACTTCTGTTTGCATTTGTCTGATGGTAATCAAGAAGTAGACAGAAGTACTTCTGTGCTTTGTATAGGCATTAGTCATTAAACTAAAGCCTTCCAAAAATCACTTAGGAATATTTTATTACTGTCACTTACAATTGATTGAGGCCAACCATGAAGTTTGAATACTCTATCAAGGTAAACTTGGGCCACCTCCATGGCAGAATATGGGTGGCTCAGTGTTATAAAATGAACATACTTGCTGAACCTATCCACCACCACCAATATAACTTCTTGAACCTTGCCCTCTAGATTTGGGCAACCCCTCTATGAAGTCCATAGAGATATCCTTCCAAACCTCATTGGGTATTTGCAGGGGTTGTAGCAGTCCAGTGTAAGTGCTAGTGTCATATTTGCAACTTTGGCAAACCAAGCATTGTCTGATATGACTCTGGACATCCCTTGCCATACCCTTCCATAGGAACAAGTTCTTTAATTTTTTAAGTGCAGCATCCCTTCCTAAATGCCCTCCAGTAGATGAATTGTGTACCCACTTCAGTATTTGAGCCCTCAACTCAGCATTTGGCCCTTATGACTAGCTTTCCCTTTTTCCTCAACAAGCTCCTTTGAAGGCTGTACTTCTCCACTGCTACCCCTTGCTGCAATTTGGCCATGACTGCCATTAAATTGTTATCAGGCTGGTAGCTCTCTTCAATGGCTTTTAATATATATCAGATTGCACCCCCATTATAGCCAACAACATCAGTTCTGATCCTTTAACCCTGGATAGAGCATCTGCCACTACATTTTCAACTCCACTTCTGGACTGCATTTCATATTGAAATCCCATCAGCTTAGACAACCAAAATTGTTGGAAAGGAGTAGAAATCTTCTGCTCTAAGAGCCACTTCAAACTTCTTTGTTCTGTAACATACCTAGATGATAGGCTTTTGTCATTTCTCTAGGCACCTGGAATCCCTCTACCACTTTAACTTTAGGTCCCTGTAGTCCCTCAGTATGTGGTCAATTCCTTTGAAGCTGACCTCCATATGCAACTCCTTAATATTCTATTTAATAGTTCCTAGGGTAATTAGCCATTGTACTCCTAGAGCTATATCACAGTTTCCCAAGGGAGTTAGAAACACGTCAGTGCTGAAATCTGTGCCTTGTAATCTCCACCTGACTCTACAAATAGATGGATACTTCAATGTATTGCCATCAACCACAGTCACTAGTTGCAATGTAATTCCCTCCAATTTACAGACCAGTTTCTTGGAATGACCAGTATCCAAAAAATTGTGAGTGCTACCAGAATGGCAGAATCTATTAGGATTTGGAGAGCCTTCTTCCCATAATGTCCCGTAACTCTCATGGTCTGATATCCCACAAGGCCATTGACAGCATGGAATGAAATATAATGTTCTGTTTCCAATACCTCAAAGTCCACCGTGTCAGTTGGGAGTTCTTCTTCACAGAGTTCTTCTTCACATGTATCATCCAACAACTCTTCTCCAGGAATCTCTACCAAGAATAGTTGAGTTTTCCAAATCTGACACTTGTGGTCTCTTTCATATGGCTGGTCACAGAAATAGCAGACGTTTAACACTTTTTTCTACCCATTCAGCAGCTGTCAAGACCTTAGTAGGTCTGAGACTTCTAGCAGTGTTATTAGATGAACTAGCCTCTTGGTAGTGGGACTAGGACTTGGGTGCATTTGAATCTTATATCCATTAGAAAAGCTGTTACCACTGTAAGTAACCGTAGCTTTAGGTGTAGGTAACAGGGCAGAAGATGGATATGATCTTGACACAGGTGTTTTGGTTACTTTTTTTGTTGCTTGTACACCATCCTCCTGCTGTCATGCAATCTCGCAAACTGTTTAGCTTCATCCAAAAACACATGTCTTAGAGCCTTCACAAAGGGCTTCAAGTGTGCCTTCAGACCTCCACCAAAACTGTCCACAAAGTAATCCTCAGGCAATACAGGAGTCTTTTGAAGCATCAAGGATTTTATATTTTTAATTCCTCAAGCTTCTCCAAATATTCTTCAATTGAGCCTTTTTGTGTCAATCTTTTAAAGTCCTCCACCACCTTACCGTCAATCTTTTCTTTAAACCTTCCATACACTGATACACATCTTCATTAAAGTCTTCCCACTCAACTGCCTTTTTGACAGGGATATAGCCAGCGTACCACATTTCAGCCTTACTGACCAAATGAATAGAAGCGACGTCTAATCACTGATTCTCAGGAATTTTGCACGAATTGAAGTATCGCACACATTTCTTAATCCAATTTCTAGGACTAGATCCGTTGAACACTGGAAATTCTATTTTAGGAACGAATTTGAGAGCATTTCTATCATTCCTCCCGTTTCCAATTACCTCAGAATTGTTTCTGCTTTCATTGTTGCCAGAGTTCTCCAACATTTGCATCATTCTCTCAAGCATTTGCTGTTGCTCATCAATTCTCTGATTCTGTGATATCAGTTTCTGTTCCAACATGATCTTCAACTGATTATTCTGTGTATTCTCCATATCGGTATCTTTTTTCCTTCGCGATTTTCCTCTTCACGGCCAGGATGGGTCTTGCTTTGATACCAATGTTAACGCCAATGCAGGAAGGATCCAAGACGAAGATCCTTCAAGAATGGTGCTTTGGTAGGATTTAGTTCAGCTAAATCCGAAATTGAACAGAGATATGAGAGACTGGAGGGAAATGGATTGAAAGGAAATTTATATTATCTCATTATTATACTTGAATACAACACAGGAGGTGTTTTTATAGGCTAACAAAGGTAACTAACTCCCTAACCGACTCCAAGATGAGCTGGCAGTTAGTTATGCTGTAGCACCAGTACCATTAGTTATTAATCCGTACATCTGATATATTTGTGCATGTGTTAATTCATATGTTCCTGCGTAACTATTTGGTGAATACTTCCATGGGGATACTCTTGGATCTTGGTTGATAGATAAGATGAATTAACATGCTTTTTTTGTATAATCAATGATTCAGTCCCACGACTCCCAATGTCACAAACAGTTCTTCAATCCTGTTATTGACTTGTGACCAGATGTAATCTATTGTGCAGCTCATTGTAAGCTTATTATTATGGTGACTCATATGTCAATGACTCCACTTCTTTAGCATAATAACGTTTCTACTCTTATGAGATGCTTAAGATCTTGATAACTTTCTGAACCTAAAATTCCCATGTGACATGGGTACTGAACAGTAACAACAAAATTCAGTATAACAGTATAACCTCGATTTCATTGGGTTCTTGGGTTCATGATATACAAAATCTTCCCCTATAAAAATTAAAGAGGCTATTTCCACTAAACCTTTATTGCATTGCTGCATTTACTATCCAAAATTCCATAGAAGGTTAGAACCAAATGAGGATTACTGTGTCATTTTGGTATAGTCCATTTATCCATTGGAAGCTATAATTTTGTCAATAATGACTCTCATAGCTCCATTATTGATGGACACAAGGACTAAGTCCCATGCTATTAATAAATCTTGGGATTGACTTCTGGGTATATATCGTCTACTGTGCAATAAGCTCTGTTGTAAGATCGACTGGAATGACAACAACTTAACTACTTTAGAATAATAAAGTTGCTACTTTGGATTAAATGAGATGCCTAACTGTATTTCTTCACAACTCCATTGACACTAAAATTCTCTCATTTGATATTGCTACTCAACAACAAAACCCAAAATGATCACAATTCATTTGGGGTATGGGGCTCAAGATGTAAACAACCTAACTCATGTTAACTGTTTTCGTTAGATGCTTGATGTATTGTTTGCTTATTGCATTTACTACCCATAAATTCATATAAAGTAAGAAGCTAAGGAAATTTTATGTATCATTTTGCTATAGTCCATTTTTATCTGAAGCTAAAACATTGTTGAGTCTCTTAGCTCAATTGGAAATGAGACTGCTGCTTAAAGGTTAAAACAATGTAATGATTTTTTGTGTGTATGAGTAGCCTCAAGTGTCTGCAAGGCAAGTCCATGCTCAATAAGTCCTCATCTTGTTAGCCATCATAAGGAATGAAGAATTCACATTCCTAGAGAATGAAATTCCAAACCATCTGTACTCTTTGTTCTTGGCATTGCCTAAGAGATCCTTCGCAAAACAATTCTTAATGCTTTGTTTCCTTGGCCGTTTAGTTGTTTACTCATCTTTATACTTCACACTTCTAGAAACAACCTCTCTACGCAATTGGGTAGGAATAAGGTCTATGTACCTTCAACCCATTGTCATCCTTATCTGTGAAGATAACATTCTGATTTGTCATATAGCTGATTGTTTAGGAGTGGTGATTACCTAGTTTAGACTTTTACAATCCAATTCAGCTATTTACTCCAAGCAGAGCATCGTAGTTTCTTTATGACCTAAGCAATTATTTTCTTTGAGTCCTTCATAGGGAAGGGGAGGGAATTAGAGGAATGAGGTGTGTTTGTTCAGGGACTCCAATATTTGAGGTTTGCTTTTAATAAATCCTCCTCACCTCTCCATCGAACCAATGCATAAATTATTTAAACACTCATTTCCTCTCCTCCCATTCTTTTGAACCAAAACAAGCACAAGTGATTGTTTTGCCAGGTTTTGGTCTTATATTCTTTTTTGGTTACTTCCCCATGCTTAAAAACGTTTGAGAACGTGGCTCAATTCAAGTGGTGAGATGCCATGAACAATCAACTCTTGTGCATCCATGTATCTGTTAAATGCTTTCGATTGGCTTTGCATGTGTGTGTACTAACAAAGGATTAATTTTGGTAAGCAGCAAAGGCCACACCTTCCAGTCAGGCCCATTCCCTCCCAGCTCTGGTGCAAGAACTTTGGGACGAAAGAGTACTAACCCAGCACTTCTCTGGGAAGATCACAATGCTATGCATGTGTAATTGAGTACTGAAATTGTGTATTTCTTTAATAGTGTGTGCTGGTGGTTCAAGATGACTACTATTTTGGACTGAACAATAAAATACTACTTTCCTCTGTAAGAATGCAACTACATGTTATGGGGGTTTCTTGGCTTTTCTAGCTCTTTTTTTCCGTCCATTTGAATAGATAAATCTTATCAGGTTAATACTCCGTATCTGATATGTGGACATATGCAGCTTGTCTTTGGCCTTTGAGTGTCGCCTTGGCATTGCACTACTATGGCCTCGGCATGGCGCACCCCACCTTATAATTAATGTACTCAAAACAAAGTGGTTCTCCTATAAATCTCATGTAGCTGCCCCCAAGTAACATGGGATATAAGGTTTAGTTGTTAAAACTCAGTAATATTTTGATTTTTGCAACATTGAAGTGCCATTTCAAAATGTTCCCAACCTCTTCCGTATTCAATGGGTTTTTATTGAATTAACCTTGGGGTACACCAACCTGGGGTACGGGTTGGTGTATCCTATTTGTACACCAAGCTAACACAGATACATTTATATATGTGTGTCTGTGTTAGCAAAAATGATGTAAAAATGGGGTACCCCATGTTGGTGTACCCCCTTTTTTTATTTCTTCCGTATTCAATCTAAGACTATCTCCAACCATTTACACCAATATCAAACCCAAATTGTGGTATATATCAATCAAACAGTGATTCATCTCTAATCATTTACACCAAATTCATACCCAAAAGAGTATTTCTTTCATTTATTTTTAATAGTTTTTCAATCATACCAATATGTTTTATCAAAATTACACATTAATCCCACAAACTTGTGCTGATTCTTAATTTTCAAACGGAGAAGCAAATCCAGGCCTAGGACCACCACATGAGGGTAGGCTCCCATTGTTGCTTTGTTCACTTCCACAACCGCCAGGCTCATCAAAACGTCATCGCAGCCGCCACAGAGGGCGGCGATGACTTTCCCCACCATGCCTTCGGTTACCAACCTGATTTTGTTCACATCATCCAAGCAGAAGTGGTGAAGCAGGTAGAGGACCCTCTCTTGTTGCCCAGAGTCGCCGTTCACGTCTGTTTTTTTTTTGCGTTTGTGAATAGTGCAAGCGGAAATATGCGTTTTCACTGTTCAAATACTCAAAATTTTGGGATTTTGGGTTGGGTTTTGCAGCATCGTTGGAGGCTTTTCTCATCCCGATCTTGCGTTGCTCAACACGATCGGAGATGCTCTAAGTAAATCTAATTATACTCCGTATATACTATACTATCTACAAAAGCAAAAGAAATGGAATAGAAAAAAAATCAAAATAAATTAAGCCTTTTCGCGCCCAAGAGTAAGTAGTCTTATCTTTTGTTGATGGTCACCATGTGAACCTAGAAAATGAAAAGCTCCGAAGGAGATCTGGGCTCATCCGACATAGGGTTTAAGAACATTCTTAATTAAATATAAAGCCACACTCATCTGGCCTAGGGCATCTGTTTAAATATAAAGGAGTAAGTATATGGTACAACCGGTTGTACCTAAAAATAGGTACATCCGAGTAGTACTCATTCTGAAGTAAAATAGTACTCATTCTCGCACAAACATAACAGTTTATTTAAAATAGCGTGGTACTCATTCTGAAATAACACATTACTCATTCTGAAATACGTAATACTCATTTGCACACATTTGTACAATATTCATTTATTAATAACGTAATACTCATTCTAAAACCTAGTAATACTCATTCTCAAATAATCTAGTGCTCATTCTTATACAACATACCATTCATAAGATCCAAAATACAAAATCTTACTAATGACCAAATTGGAATTAGAACATACGGAGTATTTGGAATTACCAGATCTGCGGATTGGGAGAGCTTCTTCATCGCCGATAGATTTAGCAGATCTTCCTTCTTCCTCCCGACCGATTTTGCCCGAAATTGCCGCAGATCTCCTTCTTCATCGCCTCAGATCGATTTCGCCTTCCGCAGCTCTCCTTCGACGCAGCTTCCGACCCGACCCGACCCGACCCTCCTCTTTTCTCCTCCGGTCGACGCCTTTTCTTCTTTAATTTACCGGCTGTACCTAATTTTGTGTACAGCCGGTTGTATGGTATAATTTGCGAATATAAAGCCACACTCATCTGGTTTTCAAATTATTATTGAGATTCACACACTATTTGTGGGATACGAGAAGATTTTTATCTATAACTTTATGAGTATGGTGAACTGCTATTTTTGGAGATGTATGTTAGTTGATATTTTTAGACGTCACCATATCTTATACTCTGTAAATATAATAAACCACTTCTAGAATTTCGTGTATAAGCTGCAAAAAAGTAGTGGGGGATATTTCCGCCTCTATTTAGCTGCAGATTGGAGGAGGAATATTCACTCTCTGTTTCAAATTTTTAATAGTGGGTAACATTCCCGCTGCTAGTTTCATAGCTAATTGAAATAAATTTCAATTGTATAACCGGGAGATTAAAGTTAAATAAAAAGCAGCGGTAGAAATAAAAATTTGAATTTATTACCAAAAAAAATAATTGAATTAGAGGCAAGATAGTTCCTCACTATTATTAGACACAATAGTAGGGGTGGAAACGAACCGAATCGAAGCGAATATCGATATATTTGAATTTGTATTTGTTTAATTTTTTCGAATACGAATACGAATCCGAATATGAGACGAATTCAAAATAAGATTTGAATAAGTATTTGATTAATATTCGAATAGTTTTCGAATCATAAACGAATATTTGAATAATCATACTATGTAATTTATATGATGGACCAACATCAATTTGTAATTTTATTTACAATACTCTTTATACTATACTATATTCCGTATATAAAAACATTAATACATTTGCATCTTACACAAATTATATTTTATAAAATATCACTATTAAAAATCATATGCTTTAGTTTTTTGTGTTACGTTAATTTATTGAATTCTTAATATTTTAAATACACTTTATACTATATTATTTTGTTTGACTTTTGATGTTGAAAATATAGTCTATGTATATATATATACATATATTCGAATATCATCCGAATCGAATATATCCCTATTTGTATTTGTATTTGATTAATATTCGAATCAAAAATAATATTTGAATTTGAATTTATATTTGAATAATGCGAATTCGAATCATCATATTTAAATACAAATCACGAATCGAATTTAAAATATTTGATTTGTTTACGTCCCTACACAATAGAGGCGAAATTTGCCCCCGCCCTAAATCCGTAAATATACAAAAAGAAAAAGATGAAACCAAAAAAAGGGTAATTTTTCCTGCTCTAATTGAAAAATAAAAAAAAAGTGGGACTTGTGTAGTTTGTACTTTGTATTGACTTATCCAATTAAAAAAAAGAGGACTATCAATCTCTTCTCTCTCGTTTCACGTCTCCCGTTTCCCTTCGCTCCAGACGCCCCAGCAGCCGAAGTAGCCGACCCTCCGCAAGCCTGAACAGCCGCCGACCGTCCGCTACCAACCGCCGACCGTCACAACCTCCAATTCTTCATCCGCCGTCTCAGCCGCGACGCCTCAGCCGCCCCTCCAATTTCTAGGTTTTAATTCATCTTGAAAATACTCTAATTGTTCAATTATGTGAATTTCTTTGTTTGTCTCTTGAAAATTCCCTAAATTCTTCAATTATGTGAATGAAAATATTCTAATTGTTCAATTATATGGAATTGTTTGTTTAATTTTTATTACCTCAATTTGATTTTTGATTTATTGGTATATTTTTATTCTAATTGTTCAATTATGTGGAATTCTTTTTTTAGATCAATTTTAATTATGATACATAGTCAAAAGGTTGGTTTTCAACTCGGGTTGGAGTGAAAAGTATATAGGAAAGTGTTATAATATTACAGGAAATCTCTCCTTATAGTCTCCTTTTTAGTATTATACCCACACACAAATTACAAAATAATGCCCCCTTATCAATCAAAGATTCTGAGTTTTGTTAAGTGATTGATTGTTGTAAAAAAGTATGTAGAAGATCAAATATTTCGAGACCCCCTCCCCCAGTGCCAAAACAACTATGGGCATATACACTGTCTACTACATGTTTTTTAAACTAAACTTATGTCTTCCTCAATTTTGAAAGGAAATAATCGTAGTTGAGTCCCCTTCAAGATATACCAATGTTTCATATCTCGAGTAAAAATATTGGTTGTACTTGCTTCGTTAGGATGGTTTGTCCTCGTGTCACAAAATGAAAAAAATCAGATCTTAAGTCTGTGATGTGGGACTCAATCAAATACCCAAGTTTGAAGCAGAAGTAGCAAATGGAAACAGTGAGCAAACAATTAGTCAAGACAAACCGTCGTGGTCATCAATTGGACTTCTTTCGAATGCTCTCTTTATATTTCACAACAATAGGTTTCTACATTAAAAGTCTGGTAATAGTTGAATCCCAAAACTCTTCTTTCTTTTGCTTTTCAAATATGGAAATTCTATCATGCAATTCTTGTTTGATATATGGGGCTGCTTCAAACTTTAACCTCTGTCATCATTTCTATGACAAAAACAAAAAAATGCACATTTAGTGATAATAATATATATTATATGTGTTCTTTTACGGGTAGTTATAACTTGTCCTTAGTGGTCTTCAGAGAACAATGGCTGTTGAGGCAAAAGATCAAAACCTAAAACCACTCGAAACAGCTTTAGCATCAGTCATTTATCCTACTTAATCTCTAGACAGGCTTACCAATGGTTGTAGAGATTGGGGTTGAGCATGGTTTGCTAAACGCACTTAAAGATTTTGTGCTGATGCAAGCCGTGTTCTTTACATTCTCATTTGGCACAAAATCTCACTACTACGGCAAAACAATCCTCCATGGAGGAGGAACTTCATCGTCATGACGAGGAGGAAAACGAAACGCATGTAGAAGATCAAATATTTCGAGACCCCCTCCCCCAGTTGAAAAGAGCTAAGGTTGTGCGTGCCATCCCAGCAGAACAATGGCCAAAGGATCAAGACGGGAAGTTCATCTTACGTGTTGTAGGACGTTGGTAAGTTTCATATAATATACATTTAATTTGTACCCTTATTTTTTGTTTGTACTTACCTTTTTTCTCTCTTCACATGTGAGTTTGTAGTTGGATTCCTTCAAAACCCGGCGTCAAAATTATAGGGAAATCAATTAAGAGGTCTTATAGAGAGCCATGGCGTACATGGTGTTCCCTGCAGCAGGAAGTCCGTGATCGGTGGTGGAGTTTTTTTAGAGTACGTATGATAAATTAATTGAATTCCCTACCCCTGCCCCCC